GGTCATATAAGTATGAACCAGTTGCCAAGAGGCTTGGGATGCTGCAATAGGTGGTGTGAAAAGTGGCCGTGAGTCACTTTTTCAGTGCTGTTATAACTTTGAACGGCCACTAAATGAACGGCTGTAAATTGAGGACTACCTGTAAATCTTTTCAGTACGTAAACAAACATCATTTAATGTTTATGTAGTGAATAAATATAAAGAGGTAGTGCAATATTGGCATTAAGGGGTGTCCAAGACAGCTTGATTTCTTCAATCTTCTGACCCTCAGCTGATTCTTGAAGTTCGTGAATCAATTAAAGTGAAATTCCAGGGAAGAGTCAGGTAAACATAAACCTCAATGGCAGAGTGGTTAAAGTGCTGTACTGCAGGGCACTTCTGCTGACTATCGGCTGCCTGCAATTTGGCAGTTCAAATCCCACCAGGCTCAAGGTTGATTCAGCCTTCCATCCTTCCCAGGTGGGTAAAAAGAGGACCCAGATTGTTAGGGGCAATATGCTGACTCTGTAAAACTGCTTAGAGAGGGCTGTAGAGCACCATAAAGTGGTATATAAGTCTAAGTGCTATTGCTAATTAGAGAAAATTGCAGAGCAGGACACCATGTAGATAGATACCTCTTCTTCCCTTGGCGTCATCTTCTGGCTTTGAACTCTGTGCTGTATCCTTTATCTTTCTAGAGAATAGATGAGTCCCAGCAAACAGCACATTCTGCTATAATGCTTGCCAACAATGCTTTTTTTTTCTTCTTTCTTTCTTTATCTGCTAGAAATGGATCTGAGCCTTTTTCTCCTTTCTCTATGATTGGTTGTTTTCAAAATATTTTTTCTTCCTTTTGGCTCCTCTTCTTTTTTTTTTTGCCCATTACTAATGTTAATATCTCATGTCCAAAACTTTTTTGCCTGCTGTGGGTATTGCCACTTGGTGCCAATAGCCTTGTGTTTACATAAATTCATAGAGATAACTGTCAACCATCAATCAGTAACCCTAACATTAAATCACACATTTGGTGGTGGTGATGGGAAGGATAATATAGCTGAAACAAGCAGATGGAATTAATTGACTGTTGGGCGAAATAACACTGGCAAAGAAAAACATTGTGGTGGGCAAAAAGGAAACGACTTTTTCTTTCTTAAATACAATTTCAGATTACTTTTTTGTGGAGGGCATTTACAAGAATGGAAACCGTGTGATGTTTCTTCAACTGCCATTTGGGGAGATAATTGCCTTTTGCTTTAAAAGAATCATCGGGATGACCAAGTAGCATATAAATTTAGTAAATTATTATGGTTCATTGCATAGTCAGCCAGATGTTTAGACTAGATTTGGCATTTTTATCCACCTATCACAGGGGTCCCCAAACTTGGCAACTTTAAGACTTGTGGACTTCAACTCCCAGAATTCTCTAGCTGGGAGTTGAAGTCTGCAAGTCTTAAAGTTGCCAAGTTTGGAGATCTCTGACCTATCAAGTCCTTTCTAAGAACCTGGAATAAGAAGATGTTGTTTGATGGTGTTAAAGAAAGAGTCACAGGATGTAAGCTGTTCCAAATAAAGCTGCAACTGGCTGGTGATTTTGTCAGAGATTATGGTGTTCAGCTGGTTTGGGGGCTATTACTCTTGGTGGTTTGCTTTCTTTGGCCACAAATGTTCTACTTTTATTTGTAGGTCTTTATGTTTTGTGACTTTCTCCAGTTCTTTTCTTTTCTGCTGTCTCCAGGTATTGTCATGTGCAGGATCCAGATTTTTTTTGTCTTTCTTATCAACAATTGCTATATATGAGAGGAAGTGGTGCAGATGTTTATTTGTTTGGATTCAAAGTCCCACAGCACTTTAGTTCTTCATTTTCTATGGTTTTGTCTATTTTATGGTCTCACCAGTTCTTGCTTGGAGGGAAAAGGTATTTCTTGCAGATTGCCATTGTTTTTAGTGTGTCTAGTTTGCAGCAGCTAACTAGATAGTCCATTTATTTCTTTGGCTTCTTTGTAGAGAGTGCACTTGCTGTCTTTTGCTGTCTTCTCATTTCTGGCTTTGTAAGGCATGTGTTTTTAAAGCTTGGTTTTGGTGCAGCCAGAATTAACCTTTGTCTCTTTCCTTCAATTTTCCTGCTCTTAGTCATTGCCAGATCTGCTTTGCCTGCTTTTAAAGAAAACCCTGTACTGATCATGTTATACTTTGCCTAGCCGTATCTCTTTTCTGTTTTTCATTTTGTCTTTTTTGTAAGCCAATTTAGTCTCTCCAGGTCTCAGTAAGCTTTCCTGGTATACTAGGAAAGCTTACTGAGACCTGTAGAGACTAAATTGTTTTTAACTAAATGCTGCTGGACTTCATCACCTCTCATACCAGTTGCAATTTGAGAGTTGTTGGTAAACAGATAATCGATCTACAGTTGCCGAGTGCTTGCTTGATTGTTTGTTTATTAAATTTATGTGCTCTGAGCTGCTTTTGTTGGATCATTCATTATCAGGTAGGTTTTGCCAGATATTAACAAATCTTCAGTTTCACCTCCTTGCAGTAATGTTGTTAAATTACTTGGCAACAGGTGGGTGTAGACCAGTCAGATATGTCAACCAAAAACCATGCAGTTCACCTTCACCTAGTGCTGACTAGTTCTTTATCATTCTTGTTCTTTTCCCACTATTTCTGCTGTTACTGCTTTCATTTTTGCTTCTTTTTATTTTTAATTCATCTCCTTTATCCAAGCTGCATTCTAGTTGTATTTCTTTGGTTGTGTCATAGCTGTGGCCAGAACTGCACTGTTGCTTCTTAATCAGGTGATGACTGGGTCAGGAAGGTGTAAACCTAGCTTTATAGTCAAGATCAGCTATGATGATTAATTTCTCGTTCTCAGCTTAAGTCCCTTATGCGTCTGGATATAATATACAATGTGTGTCTCTGGGTGTTTCTTTATTCATCAAACTTATATATCTGCCCATCTAAACAAGGTAATTCTGAGTGGCACACAACAATAGATAACAAAAATTAAAAAATGGTGAATACAAATATAAAAAAAGGCTTTAATAATAAATATCCTTTTAAAAAAACCCAAAATGTAATCAAAGTGGAGGAAGAATAAGAAATAGCCTCTGTGATGACCCAAAGAGTAACACAAACATCACAAAATCCAAAACATAAATAAATGTCCTTTAATGCTTCCAACTTGGCCCCACTGTTCAATAATACTCAGTTGGAGATAAAACATACTCAAGAATAGTCTTCAACAGTCTGAATTTAATGAGCAGATAGAAGTGAAATAAAAAACCAAACAAACTGCAATGATGAAATTACCACAACGGAACAGGAGAAGTATTTACCAAATTCAAGGAGATAACAAGACACAGTCTGTTGGAAGGACGCCAACCAAGATAACTTCAGACCAAAATAAAAAACGCTTTGTTTTCAGCATTCACCAGTACGCAGGTCCAAACTTTTATTCAGTTATCACAGCTGCAGTCCATGAAGAGGATCAAGGCCCTCTCCTCCCGAGTAGATCACATCTATCCCTTATCCTCTCCTCCCTGAGGGCCCTAGGATGGATAAGGGGTGGGCCTGGGTCCTCCTGTGACTGCTCAGACAGCCTCTGCCCTTCTCCAGCCTCCTCCATAACCTTCGGAGCCACACCTCCACTCCCTGTCAGCTGTTCCTCATCTCCCTCAGAGTCAGTCTCCACCAGGGGCATGACAGCCTCTCAGTAGTGGAACTATCTAGTCAGGACTCTAGGCCTTCCTGTCCTCTACCATCATCTGGAGTCCATTTAAGCTCATGCCTACTGCTTCAGTGACTCCAGCCAGCCAGCTTGTTCTCTGTTGTCCCCTTCTTATTTTGCCTCAATTGTTCCCAGCATTAGCTCTTCTCTAGTGAGTGAGTGAGTGAGTGAGTGAGTGGAGAGGTTAGCAGTTGTTAAAACAGGTGAAAAGGTTCCCATGGGGCCAACCAGCCTGTGTGCCCACGCAAAGCTGCACAGCCAAGTTTTGACCCCTTTGTGGAAGGCTAAGAGATTGGGGGCTTTCCTTACCTCTGAGGGCAAAATGTTCTATAGTGCAGGCCCAGTTCCTAGATTCCACCAGTTGAAATTCTTTGACTGGTTGGGTCTGTAGCATTCCCTGCCTGAACAAATGATGTTAAGGGGTGAAGCTGGTTCACCCTGATGTGCTGAGGTGATGTGATGGGGTGAAGCTGGTTCCATAAATAGCCTGGCCCTAGGGTTTATATACACAGATGCACAAGAGAGGCATTCATACATATTATATGGATATAGAACGATGCATTGCACACTTTCCCTCCAATTTTACTTTTCTGTGTATTTTTTTAAAACTGTAAATTGCTCTGCAAAATTTAAAAAAAATGAATGTGTATGTATAATATATATTTATTCTCGTTCTTCTATGGGCATGGGAAATATTTCCCACATCTCAAGTTTAAGATAGCAGATATGTCTTTAAGTAGTTCATTTCCAAGAGAGAGTGGATTTTTTTTGGATTAAAATGGCAAAACCCAGCTGTACTTGGATGTATTTCCAAGTAAATTGGAGTAGCACACTTAACCCCAGGACCCACTGGCTCTATTATTTAGATTAACAAACTTGGTTAATCTTTTCAGATACTGTACGTTAAGAATTCTCAAAACCCTGTAGAGAATTGAGAATAGTATTTTTTGCTTTTAAAAGTATTAATGTGGTTTATTGAATTCTAAAATAATTTTCCTGGAAGCTATTTTTTTTTAAAAAAAAACTTTCTTCATAGAGCTGACTAGACTGTAAACAATCTGAACTTTAAATGGCATTTTGTTTCCCATTTGCTTCAGAATTTTGTTTTAAAGAAGAGACAACTCGGTCAGAGGGCCTCCTTTACTAACCAATTAACTTTTTTTCCCCCAGACAGCATTGAGAAATAGCTTTGTGTGGCAGCACAAATAAAATGCATGTATGTTTTTGTCTCTGCTATTCAACAGTGTATTATCTAGTCTCATAATATTCTTATTATTCTTATTAATTATATATTTTTCAGGTGAAATGGATCCTCCTGTTTACTTGGAAGATGATTTTTCCCATTTGGATGGGTTAGATGATGATGTATTCCACTCTGACGACTGTGAACTGGTCAGTCAGTCCAGCAAGATGGCCTTTCGTGGCATTTTCACTCAAAGCAAATCTTACAACTGCCTCCTGGGCAGGTTCCAGCTCTTCCCACTTACGCACTGTTGTGGCCCAGGCAGCAGGCATGCCAAACAACAGGACAAGGCAACACAGACCCTTAATGCATCCTCTTCCAGCCAGGATATCATGTTACCTTGTGGAGTCACTGAAGAGCCTCAGAGACTCTTTTATGGTAAGAATCATCAACTGTTACTTGCTTCTTTGTCTACAGTGAAAAAAAGGCAGTGAACCACAGATTCCCTTTTTTTTAATGGATTGTGCTGTTCTTGAGCAAAGCGGCAATTGCCTCCGCTGCTGCTTCAGATAGTTATCTCAAGGACCTTTTCCCTGGCTCTACCTGAAACAGGTACAGGGAGGTCCTGCTTCATGTTCATTGTATTTTATTTAGAGCAAGACTGGGCAGCCAGCACCTCAAACTTACATGTGCTCTCTCATCTTTGGCCGCTAACATTAGGCAGCAATGAAACCCTCTATTGAATTTTGGTGTCAAGTCTCTTAGAAACAGTCTTCATAATATGTAGAACTGGGCTAGTTATCCCAAAAGAGTTAGTGTTATCCAAAAAAGAAGTAGATGATAAATGAAAAATATATTAATAGTCTGCATCTTAAATGCAGAATTAACAAATGAATTGCCTCACTTGACTTTTCTAGCACTTATATTCTGCTTCACAGTGTGTTACAGCCCTCTCTAAGCAGTTTGCAGAGTCAGCATATTTCCCCCAACAATCTGGATCCTCATTTTACCTGCCTCGGAAGGATGGAAGGCTGAGTGAACCTTGGATCAGTGAAGATGAACTGCTGGCAATTCGCAGTCGGCAGAATTAGCCTGCAATATTACATTCTATTCACTGCACCACCACAGCTCTAGGATGTGCTATAAACCGATAGTAACACCTCCAATATTAATTTAGAAGAAAAGTAATCTAACTTGTTCTCCTTTCAAATTAATGGGTAATTAACTGCGATTCAAATCTAATTCATATGAGGGAGTCGGTGTGTTGCTATGGTTTTGAATTGGAACCTGACATAAAGATCACTAATAAATTTGAGCTAGTCACTTCCTCTTAGTCCAACCTTCCTCACAGAGTTGTGAAGGTAAAATGAGTGGCGCACCAGCTTTAGTTCCCAATAGAAAAGTGGGGTACAGATGCAATAATAATGCTAAATCAAATGTCAATTAAAATCATATTAGTTGCCATGGGTATGATATTCCAAATTTGAGTTCAATTGTATTGTTCAAATGATCCAGCTAAGGTGCCAGGAGACTATGTGTTCTAGTCTTGACTTAGGCACAAAGTCAGCTGGTTGACCATGGGCCAGTCACTCTCTTTCAGCCCTAGGAATGAGGCAGTGGCAAACCCACATCTGAAAATCTGGCTAAGAAACTGAAGGGCCTGATCCAGGCAGTCAATGCTAAATCAAAACAAAACAATAACAAAAAATATTGTCTAATGTCATGCTGTTGATGTCAAGAAAGATATTATACCAGATTGTGATATAAACACCTTTTTGTATGATATTTGGCAGGAAATGCTGGATACCGTTTACATGTCCAACCAATCGGTTTCACATTGAATCCACATCTCCAGGAGGAACCTCAGGAAAGTCTGCAGGAATTGCGTACCGAAGTTCAGATTGCACGGAAGTTACAGTGCATTGCAGATCAGTTCCACAGGCTTCATCTGCAGAGGGTAGGCAGCTTGAAGAGTAGGGGGTAGCAGTAAGGCAACAGAATTAATTCATTGGAAGACAGCTTTATGAATATATTTACTAGCCAAGTAGTGTAACTTCTGCACCATCACTGCCAATATGCTTAGAATATGCTTTGTGTTAATATTGATAATATACAGTTTGTTTCAAAACTGGGAACTAGTTTTGAAATATATATTTATAATTATTATTCTTTATTTGATTCTATTGTAATTTGTTTACAGAGATAGCTCTACCTCACAGAAATACTAATATAATTATTATTTCTGAATGTAAAGCTGGTTTCCTTTGTTCAGTTATGCTGCAGCTGAACCAAAAAACTTTTTTACAGTGAGCTACATTATAAAGAAAGAAGTAGATTTGTTTTTGAATGTCTTCTATTAAGTCTATTGAACAAAGTAAAAAAAAAAACCCAATGAAACTAAGATGAAAAGAATCAAACTTACTCTTTCTAAGAGGTGTGCAGGTTTAGTTCTTCTCCTGAGAAGGGTTCCTAAATACAACAAAATATATAGTTTTTATTTTCTTTCTGCTTACCAGTCGACCACTTTGAGCCTTGCCTTCTGCTCCCAAGGACAACTTAGAAACTGCAAATATTTGAGGGGTATCTGTTTACCTCAGATTTATCACTTTAGCAGGGGTGGTACGAGAGAGAGAAAGAACAAGGCCTCTCTGCCATTCCCTATGCTGTTAGGGGCTGGTCTTCTGTTTCCCTTAGTCATAGAAAGGTAGAATATTTTCTGCTGACTAAGTCCACCAACTGGATAGCAGAACAAGTAGGCAAGGCTTCTAGGAAGCCAAATTTCATGCTTTGACATCTAGTCTCAAATGTGGTTCAGCCTTAAATACCATGAATAATCCAATTGTCTCTCCTAATGCCCTGAAGTATCTGTCACTTTGGAGATTTGCTCTTCTTTTGGTGCTGTCTTGTGAAGCGGAGGAAAGAAACTAACATGGTGTGATGGGTGAAGCATGATGCCATGGCAATAGTCCTTGTTCATCAAAAGCTTTCAGTGTAACAGTAACACTACAAAGCATCGGTGTAATTCTCCCAGGTACCACAAGTAGTCTGTATTATAATTGTTACAATAAAGTGAGTTAGTACCAAGGCCCTGCATGTATCAGAAATGTTTTAAAACAAGTGCTTTAAAAATTGCACACGCATAGCACTTTTCTGGTCTTAATTAAAGCAGCCAGAGTTTTTCCAGACTTTCTTGTAATTGTGAAAAAAAAATGTGTTCCTGCTACATTATATGCTACCCATTCATTAACATGACTGTTAAAGCCACAGCTGTCTCACAAGGAAAGCTGAAAAAAGGCAGGCTGCTTAAGTGAAGAGCAGGGAGATGCTGCACTTATGCACATGGATGATCCAAACAAAGCACCTCTCATTTTTAAAGCCAGCAAAGCCTGATTCTCCCCAGATTGCAAATAGGTGTAAGTATCCAAGACTGATAGAAGGGCTTGCCTAAAGCCTTTTAATGGACATGTTCACATAACGTAGTAACCCTGAAAATAAGTTAGATCAATAATCAGGTTTGCATAATATACAGAACCATAAATTAACTGGAAAGTTTGGGTATGTCTAACAGACCAAGCCGCATAAAATAAGATCTAAACCAACCCCCGATGAACCTTAAGCAAGCTTAGCATGTTGTGTAAATACATCTGCTAGATTTTTATTTTTATTTATTTTTAAATAAACTTTATTAGTCTTTTATGTCTTTTAAAAACAAAAAGATAATCATTACTTTAACAGTTCTGTGACATCAATCTCAAACAATTCTATCTTTTGTGCATATTTACAAATATATATAATTTGTGCAATTATACATTTAATCTATAAATTGCTGATCTTAAATTCCTTCATTTTCCATCTGTCTTAATTCAATCCAATTGTATCATTTTCCCAGATTTTGTAATATTTAGACACATCTTTCCCTTGTAACATTAAGATCAGTTTGTCCATTTCAGCAGGTCATAATTTTTTGAATGATCAATTCATCTGGGGGAATACAACTGTGCTTCCAGCATTGAGCATAAGCTATTCTGGAAGCCGTTAAAATATGTAATACAATATATCTTATGTTTTTTCCATATTTCTTTTTAAATATCCCTAACAAGAATAATTCTGGTTCCAATTCTATTTGATCCTTAAGAATTTCTTGCAGACAATATTTAATTTTAAGCCAGTATTTCTGGGCCTCAGGGCAAGACCACCACATATGATAGAAAGTACCTTCTTTCTTTCTACATTTCCAACGTGCCAGACTCATTTTGGGGTATATCTTCGCCAATCTCGCTGGGGGCAGATATCATCTATAGAACATCTTATAAATATTCTCTTTGTCTGATGCCAATTTTGTTAATTTGTAGTTTTGGTTCAAAATACTTTCCCAATCTGTCAAATTTATATTATGTCCTATGTTTTGAGCCCAAACTATCATACATCCCTTAACAACTACAACTTCTAATTTTATCTCTAACAAAAGTTTATAAATTTTTGTAATATTTTTTTAATCTGGACCTAATAAAATTTTATCCAATTGTTGTAATTCTGAATATATTCCAAAATCTATATCTTTTTTTATCTATTTTGTAACTGGAGATATGCCCACCAATCAATACATATCCCTTGTTTTTGGAGATCCTGATTCGATTTTAACTTCCCTTGTGCATCTAAAACCTCTTTATATTTTGTCATTTTGCATAGGTCCAGATTGTTAGGATGTATCATAGCTTCCATTGTAGATAGCCAAATTGGAATTTTCATATAGTGTCTCCTTCTTATTTTAATCCAATTTTGTATAAGGGAATCTTTAATCAAATGTCTATGGAAATATGATTGTTCTTTGGTTCCTGTATCCCATAAAAAGGAGTGACATCCTTTTTGCAGGCCATGGCCCTGTAAACTTAATATTCGCTTATTATTTAAATTAATCCATTCCTTAGTCCAAATTAACACTGTCGCTTTATAATACATTTCCAGTTTGGGAGTCCAAAGCCACTTCTGCTTTTAGTATCTTGTAGCACTTTCATTCTTATTCTAAGTGTTTTCCCTAGCCATATAAATTTTGCCGTAATTTTATTCATCTCATTGAAATTTTTTTTATCTAATTTAATGGAGATCATTTGAAATAGATATAAAAATTTGGGCAGGGTAGTCATTTTGATCGCCGCTATTCTTCCTAATAGTAGTTAGTTGTAATTCTAAATCTTTGTTTGTTGTATAAGTTTAGTATAATTATTCTCTTTTATTGTTATACAGTGTGTGGTCAACGAAATACATAAATATTTAATTTTCTTTGTTATTTGCAGTCCCATTGCTCTTCCCAATTCTATTTTCTGTGATTCCGTCAGATTTTTAGTTAAAAGTTTAGTTTTTTGTCTATTAATTTTGAGGTCGGATATTTCTCCATATCTTTCCAATTCTCTAATTATCTCCTTCCCTGTCTCTATGGGGTTCTCTATGATAAATACCAGATCATCCGCAAAGGCTTGCAATTTATATTCTTCATTTTTGACTTTAGTTCCTTTTATCCCTGGATTCTGTCTAAGTCATCTTAGGAGACTCTCTAGCGGCAAGATAAAAAACAGAGGTGACAGAGGACAACCTTGCCTTACTCCTTTTCTTATTTTAAAACTCTGGGTATTTTCACCATTTAATATGATGTTCACATCTGCTAGATTTTTAATTGACCTTCTTGAGTCATATTGTATGAGCATGGCCACTGAGTTTCTAGCAAAGATGAGATACTAAATTTCAGATGGGAAGTCCTGCTACACTAATTCCCCATCGTCTGAGGTGTCTTTTGGCATCTTCACAAAAAAGATCTTGTCATCAACCCATCTTCAAACATGTATTTTGTTAGACTTTTTGATTAAAGTTCTCTGCAAGGGAAGATTTGCAGAACTGGGAAAAGTCCTTAGAAAGCCCACCGCAAGCTTTTCTACCTATTTTATAAAATATCCTATACCAGACCAATCAGCTGCAAAGTTCTGAGCAGCTGTCTTTTCCTCCAGGTCTTTCAATAGGAAGTGACGTTATCGTTGGACACGGGGTGCTTTTTTCTTCCCTCCCCTCTTTTTCTCTATTTACCTCCACCAATCTCCACTTCTCACCTACTTTGTAAGGTACCCTTGTGGATTGTCCTACTTTGTGCGAAACTCTCCCAAGCAGATCTCTCAGAATGCTTTACCAGAAAGGAGGAATCATCCAAGTTGGTTTATTTTAACCTACCTAGATTGATTTCAGGTTGGGCCACTTAAATTCCTTATGAGAAGAATTGCACTCAGGAGCTTATCATTGCTGCGGCTTCTGTTTCTCTTCTAAAGACAAGTGCATGTTGTGTCATAACGCCAGAGGTTTGGTTAAGGGGCCAATGAGATCCATAATGAAGGCTACCATATTTGTAAAGGAAACTTGTGTTTTTATGGAAAGGATGTACTTGTGGAAGGTAAGAAATTCCTTGGAGCTGTTTTAATGGATATAAATCAAGCAGAGAAGTTTCACTGCTTGATTGTGGGTGTTTCCAACTGAACAGGAGTGGTAGCCTGCAACCACTTCAGGAAGCTGTTGTGGACCTGGGTCATGTGGGGGATGGAACGAGGCAACGGCTGCAGAGGGCTAGAGCTTTAAGTTACAGGCATTGCTATTTCCTAAAGGAACTCTGTGGCAGCTGCCAAGTTCTCGCAAATGCAGAATCCGCTCAGGGAGGAAAGGATGTCTGTATACATTCGCTGTGGCTAGATTTCAATGCAGTGCCAGATGTTCAGATTGCTCCATTGCTTTTCCTACAATCTCGAGCTTCATTTTACTTCGTCCCTTCTTTCTCCCAGACCTCTGCCCACAGTTTTGGGGATATAGCTGTACTTCTGTGAAGTTTGTTTGGGGACCGGCAGGGAGAGAAATGGTTCTAGACAAAAGAATAGTATCTCTGATTTTACATTCATCAAAAAAGAACCATTTTGCCAGTGTGGA